ATGAAATCAGTAAACCCATTATATATAAATAATTGTAAGTTGATAGTAATTGTTATCGTCGTGATTGAATAAACAATAACTGGATTTACTCATGACAATAACAATTACTATCACACTGCAGTACCCGCTGCTTACTTGGACTCGAATTCAGCCCTGGCCTTCAGGCGCAAGCTCGGTGGTCTAGAGGTATGATATTAGGCTAGTGATCTGGAGATCGTGGGTTCGAGTCCCACCCGAGAACAACTTGCGATTTTTTTTTTCGCAATTGTTTTCAAACGTACTGAGTATTCAGTACATTTCACGTCAGGTAGGGCAAAAATTACACCTAATTGTAAAGTTACTTTTTATTATTTATATATAATGATTTTTTACCTTTTCATTATTTATATATAATAGAATCAGTGAACTTATTATATATAAATAATTGTAAGTTACTTTTCATTATTTATATGTAATGATTTGTTACCTTTTCATTATTTATATATAATGGAATCAGTGAACTTATTATATATAAATAATTGTAAGTTACTTTTCATTATTTATATATAATGATGTGTTACCCATTCCTTATATATAATGAAACCGGTATTAACCTTATTATATACAAATAATGTTTGGTTATCCTTTCATTATTTATATATAATGAAATCAGTACATTAATTATATATTAATAATGAAAACGTTTATGCAATTATTTACATATAATCTTTTAGACGTAAATGCATTATATATAGATAATGGGTGATCTATTCAATTATATGTTAAATAATGAATTATATATAAATAATTGTGTTAAATAATATATTTACACTTGGCGCCTCTAAATTATGAGGGATATAAATGTTGACGTAGGTTTACTGAGTGAATCTAGGACAAATAACAAAAGTGTACATACATGTAAAATTGCGATTGATGATTATGATCTGTTCTATCAAGGACTTTTAACTGTTACCAGGATAGGAAGCTGGCTAGTTTAAGCCGTCTAACTTGAATTAGCCTTATGTGCGGTATTGTTATGCAAATGAGCCAGATAAGCACAATCTGCACATGCTCAGAAAAACAAAACTTTCCTTAGCCACACTGCGTATCAGCTAGGCGTACAGCAGCTAGGCCTAGCTTATCTTATTTTTGTTTGTTACGCACCGCTGACTTAGGCTGTTTGTCATCACTTCAAGATGTCTACCGATTCGTAGAAAAGGGGTATTAAAATCCAAATATTAGCGTTTGTGAGCAATACATTTTAATTTTATATAGGTAAGTAGTAAGTATATGAATAATTTTAATGCACTAGTTAGTTGATAACTTCATTCTAATTTGTTTTGGGTCTTTTTTCTGCATTTTGATAAGCGGTTAGACATGGCCTAGGCCGGGCCTAGGCTAGCCTAATCACATCAATTTAAAATCAAATTTATAGACATACTTGCCTTATATCTTAACTTGCAGGTGATTTTATTGGTAGACTAGTATGTTTTAAAGTGTGTAAGTATGATTGATTTGCATTCCAAGTGAAATTAGTACCCTTATTTTGCTTTGTTTTACCGTACCGTAATTTTCGGCTAGGCCTAGCGGTACGCCTAGCCGATACGCAGTGTGGCCATGGTGTGGCTAAGGGAAGTTTTGTTTTTCTGAGCATGTGCAGATTGTGCTTATCTGGCTCATTTGCATAACAATACCGCACATAAGGCTAATTCTAATTCAAGTTAGACGGCTTAAACCAGCCAGCTTCCTATCCTGGTAACAGTTAAAAGTCCTTGGTTCTATAGGGGTAGAGCAGAATGGGATGGTGGTGGAGTAGCGATACTACTCAAGGAAAATACAATTGCATCTGATATTGTCGTTTAAAATCTGTATCAAGGAGACACCTCAAGAAATTGTGAACGATATTTGGAGCTGTCTATCATAGTCTATAAAATCATTTAGTACTCATGATGTACTGCTATGCTACCTCAAAGATGACATAGATGCTACTAAGACCAGATCGCCAACTGTAGTAATACTGATATGTGGTGATTTTAATGAAGTAGGGAGGAAAATACCACAATTCTGTGCATCCACTGGGCTAAAAGATATTATAAAAACACCAACAAGAGGCAACAATATTTTAGATTTAATGATGTCAAACTTCTCCAACTACTATGAAGATTCATTTTTTCCTGCCCTTTGTTTAGAAGACTAAACCTGGATTTGTAAAAGTAAAAGGTATCATGACCACTAAAACTTTTAGACCACTTTCTGACTCAGCAATTAACAAGTGTGGGCAGTGGATTACTAACAAAAACTGGCATGAAATTTCTGAAATTTATAATGTTGATCTTAAAACCACTTACTTGGAGTCTGAGTTAGACAGCCTATAGACAATGCTGTTGCACAAAATAAAAGTACACTTGAGGGACAAGCCTTTGATCATTCCAACATAAAGGATAAAATTTTAAAAAGGCAGATAGCTTTGTATGAATAAGGTAAAGACTCCAATTAGTATAAGGTGCTTATATTAATCATATAGTTTATGGGAAATCAAAAGAGCTACATTAAAGTAAGGTAAATATGAATTTGACCAAATCCAGAATGCAAATTCAAAGTGGTTCCAAAAAGTAGGTGAAATATGTGGGAACACAAAGAAAAACGAAAAAATTAAATTTAGCAACTGAAGAAAATGACCCCAACATAGAGTATGTGATATGATAAATGTACACTTGCAGAAATCTGTCAGCATTTTGAACCTGTAAAATTGGATGAATTACCTACCATGAATGCTGTCTCTTATACACATCTAGATGTGTATAAGAGACAGCTATAATGCATCATTTTCACAAGCTTTAATTCCATATAGGTGGAAGGAAGCTACAATCACCCCACTACCATAAGCAAAGGGTGCAATTACCCTAAATCAGATTTGACCAATTTCAATAACGCCAATCTTTTCAAGAGTACTTCAGCACTTTGCGATGAATCATATCTATGTTCAACCACATTTAGAATACTACAGCAGTGAATGGTCAAAGTGTTTTGATAATGATCTTGACAAACTGACTAAACTTTAAAAACGTGTGGCAAGATTGATATTAAATGCCGATTCCCTCACATCTTCTAAAGAAATGTCCATATCACTTGGTTGCTTAAACCTTTGTGATGTATTTGATCTAAAAATGATCATCTTTTAGTATTTAAGTGTTTAAATGAAAATGTACCTGAATACCTTAAATCATCATATTTTAATTTTGCTAATGAAAATCATTTCACAAGAAATAGTTGCAAATTGCTTTCACTGGAACAACTGTACAACAGAATATTATAAACATTCCTTTAAATGGAAAGGTGCCAATCATTTTAACGGGTTCCAGCCCGTTGCAACCTGGTCTTTAACCACCCGGCCTTCTGACACCCGGCCTTCTACCACCTGGCCTTTTACCACCATAGGCCCATTGCCACCTGGCATTTTACCACCTGGCCTTTTGCTACCCTAGGCCCATTGACACCCAGGCCCGTTGCCACCCGGTCATTTGCCACCCGGCCCGATGCCACCCAGTCTTTTACCACCATAGGCCTGTTGCCACCTAGACCCGTTGTCACCCAGCCTTTTGCCAGCTTTGGGTAAAAAGCGAATATTTACATTATGCTGGGTTGTTTGTTCATAACACTGGAGTAGAAATTGTTCTAATTTTAGGTATTCACACCTAATTACATTGCGTAGCCTTCATAAAATGTCAAACTGACCAAATTTTGGACAGTTGGACAACAGGCCAGGTGGCAAAAGACCAGGTGGCACAGGCCTAGGTGGCAATGGGCCTAAACCCCATTTCAACACATTATTAGTGAACTAACCAAAATCATCAAGTAATTTACATATTTTTAAAAGTAACTTTAAGGCATCAATATTATAAAGCTTTATTTTTTATTTTTATATTGTTTATAATGTAAATTGTTGTACTTTTTTAAAAATGTTTTACTGTATAATCTGAGAATTGTTATACCCAGGGCTCCTAGGAAGACCAGTCTACTTGACTGATTTGGCCACCCTGGTGAAACACTGTCAATAAATAAATACGATTTCATCTTACCTTTCACACTGACAATGAATGCAAAGATATCATTATTTCCAAACACATCAGTTGCTATATACTCAAGTGTTGTAAATTATGTAAAATTGCTTTAAATATGATTTCTTCTTACCTTTCACGATGACCATGAATGTATAGTTATCATTATTTCCAAACACATGCGTTGATGTATAGCCCTACTCAAGTGTTGTGAATTATGTAGAATTGCGTAATATGACTTCTTCTTACCTTTTACGATTACCATGAATGTACAGCTTTCATTGTTTCCAAACATATCTGTTGCTGTATACTCAAGTGTTGTTGTTCCAATAGGAAAGGCTTCTCCTGATTGATTGTAACTTGTACCAGATCCTGTTACTGTGACATCATACAGATCATCTGTATTATCAGTATAGGTGACTGTCCAGTTGATGAAAGAAGTAGGTAGTCCAGCATCTGTTGTTACATTGAAGTCACTTGGACACATTATTTCAGGATTTTCTTCATCTTTAAAAGGATATTACAATTGAAATATAAAATGAATGTTAATAAATTGATAAATAAAAGATCGAATAATAGGTGCATCATACAATTTGCCATTTATGATCTGAAAATACTGATAATAGTGTTTCCATTTTTAGCAACTAATTATCAGACAAAATATATCTCTTATTTCATTTTAATGTAGGCCTAAGAAACATTTTTTTTGTCTTGACACTGATTTTAAAGGTACTTTTTAATTATGGTTAAACATAGTATTCTTTAATGCTGAATTTCAAAGTACTTTTCCAATTTCATCATTTACAATGCAATTTACGCAGTCTGTTCGTCTTTCATTTATTCATTTGTGGCAAAGACAAGCCAAACCAGTCACTTGTCACAAATCCTGTTTTTAGAGATAATGGCCAAAAAATGCTGGAATGTCAAAACTTTTGAAATCTATTTGCCCTAAACTAACCTTTATATATCATGATATGCTATTATTTTCCACATTTTCAATGTTAAAACAACAATTTCTAAATTTGATGATGGTTTCTGCCTGAGAAATGCCTGAATTCATAAACTTTGAAGGCTGATTTCGCAAATACCGTTCCTTCCAACTGTATTTGTGAAACTCCTGCAACTTCATAACGAAATGTCGGATTTAAATGATTCTTTTACCATTTTATTTTCTCATTTTACTGTTTAACCCTGATATACACCATTTTCGCGAAATTTGAAAACTACCTCTGGGGAACTTTCAGAGGACTATCATTTCGCTCTACATACTTACCATCATGGATTAAATCAACGATAAAACTAAATTACAAAGTACAAATATATTAAAACGGAAAAAACACGAAATGTTTACATTAAAAAGAAGTCTAAGTCTTTAAAAGCTATTTCAAAATAAATCCCATGAAATGGTCTATTAACAACTGAAAATCAATTTTTGCAACAAGTAACTGGTTTGGCTTGTCTTTGCCACATTTTGTATTACAGTATTTCACTTTTTTATTTTTGTATATTTGGGGAATTAAAAATCGTCGTACCAGTCAGGAATCAGGAGAAAACTATACTTTTAAATTTGAAATAATTGGCTACCCCACTGCATTCAATACTCTAGCTGAATATATAACCTTTCTGGAAACACACATAGAGGTAATTCTGTTATTTTTATATATTATTTTAATATAAATTATTTCTAATCAACAAATTTTTACGATAGGTAGTGACAAAACAATAGTATGGTATGCACTGATCGCAATATACGGATTGTATTTTATAGCATAGTATTCACTGATTAATCCACATTTTGGAATGGAAACTGGAATGTACATGAATTAACCAGCATAGTCTGCTGTATAGGATAAGCAAATCAACTTACCATAAACTGTTACAGAGAAAAAGCAAAAAGCAGCATTGCCGGATGGATCCTCAGCTATACAAGTTACATTCTGGGGTTTAATTGGCCAAATAGCATTAAACTGGTCACCAGACTGTTTTGTACAATTCATGTTTACAGTGCCTGAATTATCAGTAACTGATACATTCCAATATATAGTGGAGTAAATTTGGAATAAATCTGTCAATGTCATATTGATGTCATCAGGGCAATCAAAGTGTGGGTCTTCGTTGTCTGTAAAGAAATAAAACAAATAATCACAACTGTATATAAAAAAAAATGAACTGTGTTGATGTCATCAGGGCAATCGAACACTGGGTCTTCATTATTCTGTCGTAAAGAAATGCAACAAATTATTACAACTGTATATTGACCATTTTTGAGAAATTTTGAAATGAAAATTTTCTGATAACCTGGCAACTACCACTGGGGGATTTCCAGATGCCCATGCACTTCGCACTACATTTTTACAAGTGCGCACACGGTGCTCTACTTGACACTAACCTCACAGGCTAGATTAGGTCGCTGGAAGTCCCCCAGTGAGTTGTAAGACGTTGGCGGTGCTGTTTCAAAGTAAACCCAATTATTGGTCTATAAAAACAATAAACTATGTTAATGTACTGGTACTGGTATAGGCATTTATAATGCACCTCTTCCTTGAGGTTATAAAGCGCAGTTGTTTTCCCTAGTCATTAGGTCCATATTCGCCACATTTAAAGTTTGACATAAACCCTATGACGTTAAGTTTGTAAATGTCATGGATATTGAGTATTTTTTTTGAGAGAGAGCTATAACCCTGGCAGCATTTTTTTAAAAGTTTCCAAGCGGCTTCCAGAGTACTTTTGTAGGTGTTTCCCCAGATAAGATTCCCATATTGGAGATGGAGTAATATCAAAGCTTGTGTTCATCATTTTCTTCAATGATGTTGTTAGCTCTCTGGGCCCTTCACATTAGATGTTATTTTTAGGCTGAAAGGTGTACCATGCTGGTGAAGACATCATCAATGATTATCAAGTCACAGATATATGTTAGTTCAATCAACTTGATAGTTGACAGTTAACTTTTTGACAATCCTGTCTACTACCTCCCAAAGTGTCTGTTCTTTGTTATGTTTGTGACAAAGACGAAATAAAATGCAAGATTTTGAATAATAAATGAATGGGATATGTGGGGGTTCACTTTAATTTGCTGGCCTCATCCTAATAAAAGGAAACGTATATGTAGCATTTAAAACTCATGGGTGCACACAAGATTCCTAATTTTGTAAATTTCAGAAATGGGATATCATTTATGCTAAATCAGCTCTAAAATTATAAATGTGGTAAACTCCTTTCAACAGAAGTAAAAATATGGGTTTCCTAGATTTTGAAGAGCTTAAGACTTACCGGTAATGTTTACTAAAAATGAACATATGTCCACATTGCCTGAAGGATCAATTGCAGTGTAGTTGACCTCTGTAATGCCAATGACAAATGCATCCCCCGAATCAAAGTTTCTTACGAAGCGTTCAACACGATCGTTGTCCACAGCAGTAGGCTCAGTCCAATTCACTACTGCTGTCGGTTCCATGCTATCTGTATTCTGATGAATGTCATTTGGACAGTTGGATATAACTGGGTCTTCCAAATCTTAAATAATAATTATGTGTTAATCATTTGTAACATTTTTTTATATGTATTGTAATAAAAATAACATTATGAAACAGACTCCATAACATATCATTCTATAGTATTATGTAATTAACAATAATGTAATAATACAAAAATAATTAAAATATCAGTAATATATGTAATTTTCATTGCATAGAATGTTGAATAAATAACAATAAAATGATATGACGCATAAAGTACCACAGTCATGTCATCACAACACCAGGTAGCGCCCTCTGTTGCCAACTAGACGTTGGTTACCGTTCATTACGTCTGAATGCCTGCATAAGCTTTCTGGAATAGGCATCTTAAAATCTAATATTTTACCATCAAAATGTACTAAAAACACAAAAGCTCACATTATATTAGTAAACGAACACACATTTAATCATCAATTAAAATCTACAAAACTAAGATACAATATCTTAATAATTACGTTAGAAATTGGGATCAATGGTTTGTCCAATCGAACGCATTTTGCAATGATAGCAACGGAGTAGTATCACATGGTATTGTGAAGTAACAATGTAGCACTCTATATTCAATACAACATTATTCTAATAGTATTGTAATAATTTTATTGTTTTTAATGCTAATAGCAACGAATAGTATATGATACACATTTAATACATATCAGTCAACAACAATGTGATAGCCTCAGTATTAAATACTGCTATTACAATATCACCCTGAATGTACAGGATATAATAGAATCTTCCTCATATCTACAAGCTTGTCATGTACAAGCTGGTAACACCGAAACATCAGCACAATTATTTGAAAACTGTGAGTGATTTCAATTGTTTTAAAATATAAAATCAAATTGCTTGCCATTTATTTCCTCTCTTTTTTTTTTTTTTTTTTTAAATATTTTCTTACCTTCTATTGTTACATTAAAAACACATTTGTCTTCATTTCCTGAAGGATCAACTGCTATGTATGTCACTGTAGTCACACCAACATCAAAACTATCTCCAGGACTATGGGTTTGATTAAACTCCTTTACCATAACATTATCTGTAACTGTAGGCTCTGGAGACCAAGTAATATTTGCATACATTTTGCCTGGTGCTGTTGAATTTGCTGTATTATTCGGACAGTTTGCAATAACAGGATTCTCTACATCTGCAAGATGTAATTAGTAATATCAAGTAGTACAAAATTCACTTGTCGATGTTATGGATTAACATTTTAACAATTAATTTGCGATTAATTCTTTAAGTCAAGCTGTGCACTAACATTTTTTTTAAATCTGAATACTTCAAATAGTAAAATTTAAAGTATAATACCTCAATTTGTTGTAGTTTCATTTAATTGACATTTATTATATATGTATTCCCAACTTCTTTGTAGGAGGCATTTAAATTGTCTGCCAAAAATATATTAGAAATCACACAAAAACGCAATAATCAAAAGTAGAAAATAATCCAAGGAAGAGACTCTCGACACATTCACATGTTTGCCAGGACAGAAAGTTCACACTGGCACCAATTAGATGAGCTTTGGTCATACATTATTTTACTAGATGTTCCTGTTACCCATGTGGCATTCTGTATAGATTGAAATGAGTAATTGGGATGTCAGCTCTTAGTGTAATTAAGAAATCCACTTTGCTGTCCAGCCCTTTTTAGGCACATCCTTGTTACAGGCCCAGATAAAGGTAGAATTATTACGTCACAACATCTTGCCTCTGAAATGTTGGTGTAGAAATATGAAAAGCAGTACTCATAGATATAAATAAAATGATTTTGTAGATAAGTAATTAAATGTCCTATAATCAATAATTGTACATAATTTTGTGATGCTTTTGTGTTTTGGAATGAATTTTTTGTTTCTATAAAATGCAAAAAAATTAGTTTTTTTTTATTGACATGGATAACAATAAATATTATACTATACTAACATTGTATCAATAAAATCTCTGTGACTATGTTTATGCTGAAGAAAGAATCAGTTCAAGGTCAATCTGACTCAAAAGATAATACTGAGGTTCACATTTTTATTTTATTTTTATTAATATTTTTTGTTGTACCAGTGCATTTTTGCCTAAGTATTAGTATTTTTAATGTTAATTGTTGTTTTTCTGCACATCCTCCAATTTTAGAGTATGCCACGTCTGAAAAGGCTGGAAAGGAGTTCTTAGAAACCATGGTGTTGAAGCTTTAACAATGAAGGACATCTTCCGTTAATTAGAGTTTTTTGAGGAGCAGCAACTATTCAACATCAACATATTCCAGCAGAAAGACTAAAAACAACTTGGATGCATCCTCGGTCATAGCATTGGTAATTGTTAGAGTACACTCTGATAAAATGATGTTAGAGATGTTTTGCACACCAGAGTGATGCCCAGCTCAAGTTTCATACTGATCATCGTCTGATCCACTGCAAACTCAGTCTCCATTTCAAGCCAAAGCCAAGGAGATGAAGCATGCAAAAGAGGAAGTTTGCAGTTAGCAACTTCCATTCAGCTGCAGTGAAAGCCGACTTCTAGATAAAACTTCAATTGAAGGGAGTCAAATGGCCGAGCGGTTAAGGTAGGGGCGCCCAGTACATCTTTCGAGATGAGTAGGGGGTTACCCCAGTGTACTGGTTCATACAGCCCCTGCCATCTTGTGATGGGATTGCCACTTTGAAAAACTATTAAATTCACTGTTTGGCATATCCTTGGCCCTAGTGGCAAAAGCTGAATAAATATAAAAAATAAATAAATGAATCTAGAGAATGTTTCTCTGAAGACCTCTATCTAGAATTGCTTTGGGCACACCTTAAATTTACTATCCAACAGACCTAGGAATGGTTTGATGAAAATGACCAGAAGATCCAACTTAGTTGGGAAAAGAGATCTGGCCACTAGAAACAACTTACTGAGCCATCTTGTCCTAAGAAAAAAAAGAAGCATTTTGTCTTACCTGCAGAAATCTTCAGTGTAAGCTATGAGTAACTTAGAACAATTGGTGGCGAACCATTAACTTTAATAATAATAATAATAATAATAATAATATACTAATAATAATAATAATAATAATAATAATAATATCATCCCGACTTAATATGTTTAAACATAAGGCTTTTCCTTACTGCCATAATGAGATTTTGAAATTACAAAACTATGAAGCAATTATCCCAAATACCAGCCAGTACTAACAACTGCATGAGACTCCTACCATAGACAAGACTATCAAGGCCACAGAACAACCGAAAAGTGACAAGGCTATACCTGTTCCCTATACAGGAACAGGTAGGGGGAAACATCTGATTGTTCCAATTATCAGGGGATAACTCTACTGCCGGAAAAGTCCTGGTAAGAGCACTCTTGAACAGAGTAGTACCCATCATGGCAAAACACCATTTTTCAGAGAGTCAGTGTGGCTTCGGTGGCCACTAAAGCACCACCAACATGGTGTTTGTTCTTCAGCAGTTCAATCAGAAATTTTGGGAACAGAACAAAGGATTGTACATGTCACAAGCCAGTTGTGTACACCAAGAAGACGCATACCAACCAAACCCTCAATGAGGAGGGGATTCAACCAGCACCTGTATTAAGGCTGTAATTAGCAGCACTGACTTAACAATCTATTAGGATGAACTTTATTATCTTTCATTATTAATAACAAAAGAAAATTATCTTCAGTTGGCAAACGCAGACAAAAAACTTTAAAATACAAAAGAAAATCTAAAAATTTCATATCGTAATTATCATAATCATTTTAAAACATCATATTCGAAAATACTATATCGTTATTTTCTATGAATGTAAGAATTAAAAATATGAACACTATCATGGATAAAAGAATTATGCAAACGGTTTGTGTTGTTACGATGAGTGTTGAGCCTAAGACCAGATCTGTTTAGTGGGTACAGCTGGGACAGTATATGAGGTTCGTCTTCCTTTATAAGCCTAACCTTATTTAGTACTCGGTTCTGATACAATGACTTAAAATCAACAAGTTTACAGATTTTATCATATTTAGCTTCATTACTACAAAGGTGCAAGCATACTTTACTTGGTGGGTCATCATTATCCAACAATGGACATCCAAATTGGTTTAAAAACTTAAAAACAGAATCAAACAAATAAGAGGGAATCCAAAACAAAGGCTCACCTAGGGTTCTGGCAGAAAAATTCATTTTTATTTTTGGTACAGTTGGCCTCATATTACTGTCACTGATAATGAGAAATACCCATGATATTTATTATTTACATTTTTGAACTATTAAACATTCGCACATAAATCAACATTCCAAGTTATATCTCAGCATGGCTAGCTAAAAATGGTCAGCATTGGGTTAGTATTGTACACCTTGTTAATGTAAAATCATTTAACTTACCTATAACAGTAACTGTAAAATTACAACTAGCTTTGTTGCCAGATGTATCATATATGAAGTCAACAACATCAGTGACACCTATACTGAAGTCTTGACCTGGTGACATATTTGGTGATGACCTAGCTGTATCAATTAAAATGTTGTCACCTGATATGGGTTGTGACCAAGAATATGGTGCATAATCAACACCTACAGATGTGTTAAGGGTAACATCAGCTGCACCACTTGTGTTATCACAGTTATAGTAGAAGGGATTTTCAACATCTGAAAGTAAATATATATATAAATAACAAATATATAAAAAAACAAATAATAATTATAAACACTTTATATAATTCGAACATTTTATATTTCAAATCAAAATACATAATACTTTCTACCTTTTTTATTATTACTGTTGTCTAATGATAAATTAAAAAAAAAAATATACAGTAACCATTAAACAGATCAATGTTGTTCGAAAGCATTGTACTAACTTTATTATAACAAAACTTGGTATAACATATCCCTAGTAATGTTATCATGCTGTATTAAAGTAAAACTGATTAAGTGGTTGTCATCATTAGCATAACAGCTAACAACAAAATTAGTTATATATTGCATAATAATAATAATGATAATAATATTAATAATAATTACCATATTAAAAATAAGTAACAGTTGTACAGTAATAATATATTATTATTATTAATAATAATAATAATAATAATAATAATAATAATAATAATAATAATAATAATAATAATAATAATATTAATAATAATCTCTTTCACCCTGTGGGTGTTCTTACAAATGGCTGTGAGGTGCATAAATAATACAATTGTATAAAACTTATTAAACTAAACTAAAAAACAAATATGCACATTGACAAAGCCTAATTGTATAATAACACCACCATAAACAATTAAATAAAGTACAAAAAATAAGGTTTAACAAACTTAAAACTAAGTTTAATTGAAATCGGCCCAACTGTTTACCACTAGCAGTGTTTTAAAATGTTGCTAAAAAAAAGATAATTATGGATGTATCTTGTGGCTTTTTTATTGTTATTTTTTCTGTTTAATGTTATGAATGTATTATGCATGAAAGAAATAAATAAATTAAAAAAAAAAAAATCTTGTGAGACCAGGTGGTACGATCAGCAGCGACCTCTGAATTGAGGTTTAACCTTCTAAGGTCCCCTCTCACAACACCCTGCCATGAATTGGTCGAGGTCCGTCAACATCAAATTCTATGATATGCCTTGGCCATTTGTCAACCTCACTGCGCTGGAGATGGCCGTACCAGCAAAGGTGACTGTGGCATAGTGTATCTGCAATGGAGTGAATATTTAACTGGTAGAAAAGTGTTTTGTCAGAGTTCTGTCACAGATTCTGGTTGCGCAGATCCAGTGAATCATTGCATGATTGGCTCGGCATAGGAGTTTTAAGTCATCTTAAGCCAGGTTTCGCTGGCATAGGTAAGAATGCTGCGGACACTGCATGACCATTTAACAGGTACAGGTGTATCATTTGAGCAGCGCATGATTTTTTTTTTGTTCATGTTGACTTGGAGCCCGTACGATTTGAAGTGTGACTTCCAAAGTGATACTTTATAAGTCAGACCATCCAGTGAGGTATCTGCGAGCACAAGATCATCAGCATATAAAACTTCCCAAGGGCAGCCGGAACGAAAGTCTCTGGAGATAGCCTTAAATGTAATAACGAAAATCAGGGGGCTGAGTACAGCACCATGGTGTACACCGAATATGATACATGTATTAAAACACTCGCTGAGCTGATTGTGAGGGCGAGCATCAGCATGCATGGATTGGACAAAACGAATGATATGAACAAGATTTGCCAAACAACTGTACAAACTCCCAGAATTTCAACAGTTTTGGCTACCCAAAAAGGGAACTGTCGAGGAAATATATAATTGTAATTACAATATTTACTCCTGAATAAAGAATGAAGATTTCCATTTTTGATATTTCGTATTCCTTAATAATTTAATGTTTTGTACAATTTGTACAGTACTATTTTCTTCATATTTTATGTTGAGTGTTTATTGCAGTAATTTTTTTTTTATAACAATAATATCGATTTTTCTATGTCAAAAAAAGAATTATGTCGTAGTTACAACTGAAATAATAATATTAATCATAACATGTGCAATAATTTAATGACAACTACAGTACAATGTTTTAAATGTTTATTAGTGAATTTTAAATATCCTTTTTTTAATACTAATTGTTATACAGTATTTGATTGTAAATACCAGTAGTGAGCAATTTAGGCAAGGCTACAATTCACTTTATGTCAAATTTCTTTTTCCTTTTGTGTTGAATATATATACCATGATTAATAAATACATTCAAAATACATATGAAAATTTACCTTCCTAAGTTGTAAAACAATGATAAAATCATTAAAATACTAAAAAACTTTGCACTTTCTATGACTATAAAAATACAGTAAAAAACATTAAACATACAAAAAAATTACAGAAGTCACAAAACAACACAAAACACGGCAAATTTTCAAAATTCAAGAGTTTAAAACTATTAACTTTAAAAAGTTTAAAATCGCAAATTCTAAATAAAAATATTAATAAAAAGTATTAAAAATGGGCCTATCTTTTTTAAAGTTTTGGTTAAAATGACTGAATTTTGACCGGGCAAGCCCACATGATTTGTTAATTTTATTACAGCAGTTTAATGGATGAGTACCATTTACAATTATTTCGTTCAGTTTTTTTACAAGAGACTTTTCATGAATTTCTGAGACACGGGTTTGATCTTTACTGACTGCCTTTGTCATTTTATGTAGTTTATTGGTATTTTCTATGGTCAGTGTAGAGAACCAAGCCACACAAGCAAAACACATGACAGAACATATCACACTTTGATAAAATAAAGATAAAACCTCAAACAATGAATTTACTCAGTTTTCTCAGAAAAAACAAACGTTGCCTTCCTTTTGCATAAATAACAATATAAAATTAACAAAAATATAGTACCATAAGGCTACCAATAAGTTAAGAACTAGGTCTACTGTTTATTTATAGATAGATATGGAGTCCCCAGTAATAAGCCTTCTTACCAATGACTTTAACTAAAAAGTTGCACAATTCTTTATTTCCAGCTTCATCAAACGCAATATATGTTACATTCAGATCATACAAAGAGCTCAAATTGAAATACACTTGAAGACCAGGATAACTGTTGTTAGTAATCATCGTCACATTCACATTGTCAATTGCTGTTGGTATATTCCACGTCACAGTTGCAAACATTTCACCAAACGGTCTGTCATCTCTAGTATCTGTTGGTACCTCTAATGGACTGGAAGGGCATGTACCATTAAATGATGGGGGCTCCATATCTGGATAAATAAATTTAATAGAATTGTTAACAAAGAATCAGATATAACATTTTTTCATCACATTACAATTACTGTTTTGTAATAAAGTCAAATATAGACCCCTTGCAATGTTTATATTTGCCCTGACTAAAACATAGACTGGGTTCCAGTCTCTAAACTTTGTCTTAATCAGTAAAAAAGCTTGAAAAAAAAATTGATTTTGGCACCAATGACATATTACTTATTTGCTGGCGTTTTATAGTATACTTTTTTTTTTATCTAATTCACATAAAAAGTTTCTCTATATATACCAACGCTGGTGGCGCTCTCCAAAATTACTAGGAAAATCAATAATCAGAGACGTGTGGCAATTCTAACTGAAACGCTGGTGACATTGCCTCCGCCGGTATGAAGGGCCTCGAATAGGCCTATGAATTTTCTGTTTTCCACTCATTGAGGCTATGGGAACCTTGACGAACATTTTGCATTTTTTTGAATAAATGGAATAATTACTCTTCAAGTAAATTCTTATCTCTTTGGATCTTCTCATGTGCAGGCGCTCCCAAGCCACAATAAGAAATATAACCAGCTTTCTGATTTTACATGGAATTGGCCTATCTTTGTGTATTTCTTTTGCCTACCAAGCAGTACGCCGCCACCGTTTCAGTCAGGGCCAATGTAAACATTGCAAGGGGTCTATACTACATTGACTACATGACCACTTTCATATCACTTTTAGCATACACATAAGACCCTCCACGTAATTGATTAGTCTGGGGCAGCGGAGTTTCAGTCATGAAGAAATCTTGATACCGCAGGACCCTGAGATTGGAAGGCAAGCATCTTAATCAACAAGTTATTCAACTCAATATTATCACATAATATAATCACACAGAATTTAGAATCTTGTATTACATCCAGCTAAAGCCTAATTGCAGAGTTCAACTTGTTGATAGTTCAGCAGTGTTGGTCGGAAACACACATTATGGTTTGTTTTCATATAGAACAATCAATAGTATTTTGATGTGAATATAAAATTATATCATTGTCATTCAATATATTTCTATTTGCTTAACATTAAATATATTTTTAACCAACAGCGGAGTTGAATAGCTCAGTGGATTCTTGCATTTTGGTCCCAAGGTCCTGGGTTCAATTCCTGTCACAGCAGGACTTTTTCTCACAACCAAAAGCAACTCCACTCCTTAATGGCCTGTTTATACGATAACAATAACGATAAAAACCTAAAAAGCAATTGTTCATATAGAAAATATAAGAAATAAGAGAAGTTTTTACACTAGGAAGTATAAACAGGCCTTAAGCCTCATAAAGACACTTAGCTTATAAAGCATCATTCTCATCCTGTAAGTGGTGAGTGTACTTGCTGTTGGATGCAAAGGAAATAAAAAAAAAACTTTTTATAAATTGGTTAAGTATGAAATTGGTGAAATTTTGTCATACCTCTGACATCTACAGTAAAGCTACAAGTTGCAACATTGCCAGAGTCATCAGTAGCATTAAATGTGATGTTGTGCACACCAATTTCAAACACGTGAGGTGAATAGATGTTTGAGGATATCCATGGATTATCATCGGCATTATCGTCAGCTGTTGGTGCTGTCCAACTGTAATTACGAGTTGCAAGGCCCGTATCTGTTCCAATAACTGTGTCATTTGGACAATTATATAAAACTGGAGGTTCCATATCTATTGAAAGAAGTGTCATAATTTTTGTCATTATCTTCTTCTGTTACCTTAAAACAAACTTACATTTAAAGTTTTCTTTTACTTTACACAATGTTATATTAGTTTATTTTTTCAATTAAACTCTGAAAAACTCCTGTTATCAATTGATATTACTTTTTTACTTTATTTAACTCTACATTATAGGATACCTGACACAAACTCACATCGATATGACTGTACATTCATATGAAGTTTACACTGATTTTGTAAATTACTTTTGTAATTCTAAGTAAAGGATTTAGTATTTATTTTATTTTAAAATATTTTGAGAGGGTAGCTCTAACAGCAATGCTGACTTGAAGTGGCCCTCTTTTAAAACAATTTAAAATACAGACAGAAAATCCTAACTACAATGAATAACATTCAGAAAATATAAAATATTCCAATGTTAAAATCATTAAAATTGCAAGAAAAAACAATTTAATTCTAAAGTTAAAACCCCAAAATTGCAAGAGCAATTCATTGAATTAAAAAACAGTGACTAACAATTAAAAAAAGTAAAATTGATTTACAATACATTGAACTTAGAAATAAACGAATACCAATTAAAAAATATAACTAGAATAAAACTATTAAAATGCAATAAATTGCTAATTTCATTTAAAAAGGATATATATTAAGTTTAGACTGAAAACAGTAAGATCAAGTAAAGATAATGAATTAAGAAAGAACGTGCCTTGTAATAAAATCCATTTTTAAAATATTGAAAGTGGGGATAAGGAACAAAAATCTTTTTAATTAAATTTTTAATTAATCAAAATGGATGTTTTCATTTCATTTCATTTTCATTTATTTATTTTCCAGATTGTAACAAATAACACAAACCTAGCACTATTCTGGCGGATTGTCAAAAAGCAAACAAATTCACTATGTAAAAACTCTCCAACATTTCATCAATAGATGACATTATTGTATCAATAATTGATTAGGTCTAACC